GTGCTAATCATTAATACATTATTATTACTGTATAAAGTGTTGAGAATTAAGTATAATGGGAGTGTTAAATAATAATAAATTTTATAATGCCACGTGGACTAATGCCTTCTGGGATATTGACTATATTGCCACTCTTTTAATAAAAATTTACCTGATTGTCACTTCTGGAAAAAAATTTGTCAAAATGCCACGCCTGAATCCCGCTGGTCTGACAAGCGGGAATGGACTGGACACGTCTCAGCTTCTGAATGGTCAACCATTCTCGCTGGGCTGCCCAGCTAGAATGACAGAATGCTGACACGTGGCAAAAGCACAAGCATTCTCTGGATGTCTGTACTTTTGTCACGTGTCAGCATTCTGTCATTCTAGCTGGGCAGCCCAGCGAGAATGGTTGACCATTCAGACGCTGACACGTGTCCAGTCCATTCCCGCTTGTCAGACCAGCGGGATTCAGGCGTGGCATTTTGACAAAATTTTTTTCAAAAGTGACGATCAGGTAAAATTTCGCCTAAAAAGTGACAATATGATCATTGTCCCAATGCCTTCTCCACATGACAAGACAAAAAAAAAAAAAATTAGATGGCATCGATTACGCATTGCACCTAATTACAAGGCGCAGCCTCGAATGGTGTCTTGCATACGTGGCATGCCCACATGTGCATGATTGCACCATTTTAATAAAATGTTTTTTTATATTCTTTTGAAAATAATTTTAAAAATCTTTGTTTAGTTCTTTTCCTTGCATTAAGAGTTAGAACTAAAATCAAGAAATAGCTTAATATTTCATATTTTTCTCTAAAAAGAGCGATTTCGAAACGCATATAGAAAAGTTAGGGCAAACAAAAAATTGAAACAAATAAAAGAGAAATTCCCTGATCTTCATTTTTATTTTCAAAACAATGAAATATTTCATTCATTTAAAGCAAGGTCTTAACCTCTTCTTTATAGGTTAATTATAAATTAATCAAACTTAAATCGTGCAAAAATAAAATAATGATTAAAATCAAATCAGCTCTAATAATTAAATGAAAGTTTAGTCATTAATCAAGTTCAAAATGCATCCTAAATTTTAATCCTCAAAACATGTCATATGTAACACCATGTATGCATCTTGTTTGTTAGCATATGCAGTTACAATAAAATAATTAAATTAAATTATGGATAAACTGTTTACTTTCTCTTTTTGCTCATAATTAACCTCATACTTATACAACTTAATTACTTTAATTATAACTCATACATTATGGGAAAACATCATACATTGACTTAATATCATCCAGTATGTAGCCCCCCGTAAGCTAACGTAGTATAAAATATACTTTGAAATCTCAGCGACACTGTACAATCATTGCATTTTCAAAATTGGGACTTCTAATATTTTATAATGTTAATCTAAATATCTTGAGCTTTCCAATGACATATTATGAGCTTCGATTGAATTTGTATAACTCAAGATATATCTGTCGCAAGCAGACTGCTAAAATCTGAATTTATGAAAACATGGCAACGACTTCAAAGTTAAACTGGGATTAATTCTAAAATTTCATAGTGTAATATTCATATGTGTTAGTTTCACATAGGTTTAAACATTACTCGATTTGGAGCTCTATGGCTCAAGTTATGGTCATTTTACTACACTATATTTATTTTGTCGAGCTAAACTACCAACAACAACAAGTAATCGATTACTTCACAAAACTAATTGATTGCATTTGTGATAACAACTAGAAAACCCTTTTTTTGCTGCATAATGGGGTATCAAATCCCTATCCAATTCCATGGCATCACCTAATTGACATTTGTACATATTTTATGTTATTCTTAGTCATCTCAAGGCTTTAAATCTAATATCCATCAATGGATCATCTCATTCCATATATCATCCTCATGATATGTCTAAGGATCATAATTTGATTATATCACTACTAGAAAATTCTCAATCAGCGAGGGAAAAATTATGTTGCAAAACAGCAAAATTCCCTTGCAAAAACGGTCTGCGACGGAATTTGCGAGGGAACATTTTGATTTTCCCTCACAACAGGCTACGAATTTTGCAAGGGAATTTTGAAAATTTCCGCCACAAATTCTGGAATTAAAATAAAAAAAATTAAAAAATGTATTAAACTTTTGTTAATTTTCCTGTAAACAACAAGGATTCCAAATGAACATAAATACATAAATTGAGCAACAGAAATCCAAAAAAATACTGGATAAACAATTAAACTAAAATTAAATAGTATATCAACAAAAGTGAACAACAACAACCATCAAATCTACAACTAAAATGTCTCTAAAGTTCTAAACAAAATAAAACATACAAAAAATATCTGATATGTCTCTGAAGTCCTAAACAAAGTAAAACATACAAACAACTAGTATGCCTCTAAAGTCCTAGCAAAGTCATCATCATCATCAGGGTCATCATGATCCGACGCCGATCCCTTCGCCTTGTTGCAGTTGGCTTCCTTTTCCTGCTTTAAAAGTCGGAGTTGTTCCTGCATTTGTTTCATAATGTCAGCTTGCTGCTTCATAAAGTTCGCTTGCTGAGTTAGCTGCTTTGTCGCAGCATGCAATTGCTCCTGAATCTGGGAGTGGTACACCCTCATCCTTTTAAGCTCATCTGCAAATACATTATTATAAAACAGTAAGTTAAATGTTTAAAATAAAATATTAATACGATAGAGATTGAAAACATAAAAGAAAACATGTTTACTTTGGTATGCATCATAACGCAAACACACAATAACATATGCTTTGTAGATTGTTACCTCAATATACAAGCTAACGACTGTTGAAAACAAATGGCACATGCTAAGGATGCAGAAGAGAATATCCCAGACAAGATCCAACTGCACCAAATTCATAAACCATTAGTATTCCAACAAACCATTGTAAATCAAGTTTTCAGCAATAAATTATAGTACTTATAATAATCCAATCATTTTTTAATACACCCATTTAATATTTAGTCCCTCAAGAATTAATATATTATAAATATAAATTATGAAAAAAAATTAATTTTACACATAAATAGTTAATAAATAATTTATAAAGACAAAACTCAAAATGAACGTAAAATATAGAGATAAATACCTAAATAGTAAGAATAATAATAATAATATAGGTATTTGAATATTATAAAATAAAAAATACATTTTAAAATCCAAAAACGTTAAAAATGTAAAAATAAGCAATTATATTTAAAACATGGGTTCCTATTATACAGAACTGAGCCTTTGTTTCTATTATCCAAATGTTTGCAATTCTATAAGTTGGTGTCCATCAGGAAAAGCTTTCAAATTCAGATTTTTTATTTATTTATTTTACCAAATTTGACAATGAAGTTGAATATTTAAAGAAAGAATAAATAAATAAAAAGTAAGGAGGGGACTGAGGAGCACATTATATATAATAAAAGGTTCATCTAATCTCATGTTACACGAGAGATGCTATCTTATGTTATAGAGACACATGTGGTGAGACCTACTATCTAAAAAAAAGAAGAAAAAAAGAAAAAAGAATGTCACGGTTTTCGATGAGTCTATAGGAGATAAACTACTCCTATGTTGCATAAGAGTAGTTTTTTCCATAATAAAATCGTATTCGATAAAAAAAAATTGGGATATGTCGCAAAGTGCATTTGTAATCTAATTAATTTACATAAAAATGTCCAAAATTAAAATCGTATTTGATAAAGTGGTTAAAGCCCAACTACAAAGACCAATGTCCTTTTTGGTAGCATCGGAAGCATGTGTCACTTTTCATTTAATTTGTACAGTGATGACAACGAAGGTGGTTGGAACAGGAATCTTTCAGACATTTTTTTCGCTTCTCACTATTGAACAATTATTACACACACCTTAAATATCAACAGAGTCTTATCTTTCCTATGACTAGCTGACATAGGCACTACTGTCACTACATGCACTCAATATCTGCAACAAAGGATGTGGCGACACATTTAATGACTTTTTCTTATACGCATGATGCGGCGACCAATTTGTGCCCTTGTCCCTTTTAAATTTGATTTATATATTATTTTTGAATTTTGCAAGGGAATTTGAGAAAGAATATATTTTCTCGCAACTTGCGAGAGAATTTACGAAAAAAATTATGAATTTTCAGTTACAATTTTTTGTCCTAAATCTTGCAAGAGAACTTCTATCGCCAGTATTTTCCCTCACTAGTTTCCGTCACAGCTTATGATGTTTGCAAGGGAATAAATATTTTTGTTACCTACTAAGTTAGGTTATAAATTTTTTTCTAAAGAACCTCAAAACAAAAAAATAAATAAATACATAAAAAAAATATCAACCATCCCTACCCATTTATTATCTGAGCTCTACTGCAAGTAAATTGCACAACGCAAAAGGTTTATATTATAAAATTTTAGTGATCGGCATCTATGAAACACGCAATATTTTTTGAATTGTGCGTATCGGACACGTGTTTGACACGGAGACGCTCCGACACACGGTCAATATTTTAGGATACGTGGTCAACTCTTCGACACGCTCCGACATGTTTTTCCGACACGCAATCAACTTTTTCGGAAACGTGATCAACGCTCGGACACATTTTTTTTTTAGTCTTAATTTTATTTTATTAACTAAAAATAAAAAAAATCATTTATAATTTAATTTTTTTCTGTTATGAAATTTGACATAAAAAATTAACAAGATACGAAAAATTATTTTTGTTTATATTTATGCTATGAAATTTGAATATTTGATTGATTATATGACTTATTATGAATTGTTATATATATTAAATATAAATTATATTGTATTTTTAATATATATTAAGAATATTATTTAATATCAAAATGTGTTCTAACGTGTCGAAATATATCATTTTTTAGAATTAACGTGTCGGCATGTCGTGTCGTGTCCCGTGTCAGTGCATCATATATCAGCATTAATCATCAAAATAGTTAAATGGCATGCGCTATGTTGTTTTGTTTTGTTTGTTAAAGGTATTTTTACTTCATTTCTCAGATATATTGCAAGTCTCAATTATTAAACCAAAAGTACTGATAAAATACATCAACCAAACACCAATGATACCCAGATTATCTTTCTCATGTTCTATAGGCACAAACACTAGTTCACTTCATGAAAAACTTTCAGATATTCATTGTAGGTAACCGCAAATATCCACTGCATTCATTGAACAATCATTCCACGGTAACTCAATATCAACACCAACATCACCTTTGTCCCAAAACTAGCTTCCGCGGTAAGTGTTAAACGAAAATGGTGAAAGCAGCAGAGGCACATGAAAATGTTCCCTTTTCTGTGACTCCTTGATTTCAAACACAATAGACACATATGGAAAGAAACCACTTGGGTTGTACCTCCCAGTGTTAAAACTTATCCTGTATATCCCTGGATTCACCTCATCAACTATGCTCAAAAGTTGACCACTGCGACCATCTGAATTTGTCACTGATGACCCTATAAACAACCAACTGCCACCATCAGCCGCGCCGAATGTTGGACGTGCCTGAGTGCCTCGCCACACCTCCAAAAGTACCTCAATACCAGCAGCTGGAGAACCTTGAGAAACATCCAACACGTGAGTGGTAATGGGTGGGCGGGTTCTAGGTGATTTTCCTGTTGAAGTCTCTGAAGCTGCAGTCACATGACCCCCAATAATGCTTATCCGATCTTCTAGTAATGGGAAAATTAAAAATCAGAATAGGCACAGGAAAGGTCAAAGCTTTAAACATAGAAATATCAATGATGCAAAAGTTGGAGTCTTTGAACTGAACATTCATAACACATGCATTATAAAAACAATAGAAAGGACTATTTATTGGCAACCAATACCACACCAAACATGTTTTGTAATTTCTCAAGGAATAGTTTGATACAGAAAGTGGTAAGTTAACAAAGCAGACTATAATAGGGTCACAGCAATATTCAATCATTTAGTACATGTAGAATAGTTCACAGTAGGGATGAATGAAATATACTTTGTATTTAGAATATCTTGTTCCATTTTTTCTCCACTAAAATTAGAAATACTTGGACTCCTGAGACATTAAAAATAAAAAAGTGACCCGAATAAAAGCAGTTAGGTAAGTCATTTGTTTCTAATTTTAGTAATTGTAGCACTAAGTCCTAAGTGCTGCAGGAGCACCAAAAATTTGTCCCTAAATCAAATAGCTGAGGTCTTGTTGGGTTTAGGGATCACTTCAAATGGTGGAAAATCAGGGACTAAGGAAGAATGTGCACCACAAGATAAAACAAAATGCCATTGAAAGGAAGTACAAGGAAAATGGCCTAGATTCAATCATATGATGGCTGAGCAATAGGTGGAAAGACTTTGGCATGAATTGAATATTGTTGTATGATGAAACAACTGCAAATTTCATTTTTCGTAACCCAGAAGCCAAATTACATCCGGTGTAGGATTTTCATGTGCTTGGTGAATCTTGGTGATCCTCGGAGTTTGGAACAGTTCCTTTTGATTGTTTGTAAGTTTTGCCAGGAGTTAGGAAAGAAACTAACTCTTATGAAAGTGTATTATGCTTGCCATTCTTTGGTATATTTGGTTGGAGCGAAATGGTCTGATTTGCATAATGAAATCATGGTTGTTAGAAAACCATGGGACGGCATTATTTGCTAGGAATCTTTGGTGACCAACACATGGTTTTCTTGCTTTATGTAAATTTTCATTTTGCTATTAATAGAAGTAACTGTGAATCAAAACAAACCTCAAAACCCAGATCAAAAATAAAAAATAAAGCTACAGTGCAATAGATATCATATGATCAAATAATAACCGAAATCTTTATTAATGGACTTCAAAGTTGTAAAGAACCTTGGGATACACCACCCCAAAAGCTAGCTCAAAGGGTGGGAGAGCCCAAGGCCTTATAAACTCCACATTAGTTGCACATACAACCAATGTGGGACTATATATCTCAACACGCCCCCTCACACGAGAGCCCTTTGGGCTTGAAGAGTGGATAATGCAACAGGCCCAGCCTACCTGTGCTAAGAAATTCCACGAGAGAAAGTGGAGGACGGCGAGGCTCTGATACCATGTAAAGAACCTTGGGATACACCACCCCAAAAGCTAGCTCGAAGGGTGGGAGTGCCCAAGACTTTATAAACTCCACATTAGTTGCACATACAACCAATGTGGGACTATATATCTCAACAAAAGTGAAATAGCCAGAGCCTATAATAAAGCCGTACAAATATACACTGAAGAAAACCACTACTAAAACACAGCAACTACAGACTAACTTGAAAACGTGAATCATTGTCTTCAATGAATATGTGAAAATAATATATTCAGGTCTCAAATCAAAATTATACGATGAAATAACCTTTCAGAAAATTGGGTTAAAACAAAATGGGGGAGACAGCCCCTTACAATAAGTTCCAATCCCCACTACCAAACTCCAAGATACAGAAAAATAACCACAATACTTCTCTCTGATGGAAAACAGAGAAAAGACTTAAGAAATAATACAAGGAAAACTTCTGAAAAACCCAGCTCCCTCTACAAGAAACAACCTATCTTGTAGAGTTCCCCAATCTCCCTTTCCACAGATTATTCAGATGACAGATGCCCCTCCCTCACTCCTTTCCCTCCTTTTTAATTTCCCCATCCATACTGTTATGCACCTTTTCCCCCTCCCCACTCTTGTTTTACTTCCCTCCGTTTTCTTTCTTTTGGCAACTTCCTAGTCTACGAGAACATAAGCAAGTAGACCAAAAAGGTGAGACTGAAGCAAAATAGGGAAGTAGATGAGGTGAAACCCATGAAGCCAACATTGGTGTTCGACAAATGAAATTAGAAAAAGGAGGAAGAGAGAAAGGAGGCTCTCAATAATATTCTTAATAATTGGTCTTAAATTGATATGGTGCATTATAATGCAAAGCACTAAGACCTATTTATTTTCACTAATTACTAAGACTTATACTTAAAAATAGATTCACTGTTTATCACATAACATTAACCCTAAATGCCTAGACCTCACTTTTTGGGCTAGAGACTGCAACATGGGCCTATTAGGTCTGCTGAAAACACTAACTTCCTACTCACAGGGAGGAAATTCTTTAAACTTAGAAAGTTATAACTAGTAAGTTTTTTGTTTACAGTTATAGCCATTTCCTTTGAAAGGGAAGATATTAAGCTAGGACATGAGCTGATAACATGATAAGCAATGGAGGTCAGTCTAAGATACTTCATCCCAGACAATGCATTTTTGCCAAACCAAAAAAGTGGAAAGGTTTTGAACAATATGTATTTCTGTAGTCAGAAGTAGGACAAATATTTGAATCTTAAGTATCGTCAAGGTTATGTTTAACAATCTATCTACAATAATCAATAATCTATTTCAGCAAACACATTGCCACCATTGCAGATACAAGAACTACTTCAGAAGAGCTAAAATGGAATAAAATGAACTATGCTTGCATAACCAAAGGGGTTGGGTCAAGTGATACATCCTTGATTCCACTTAAACAAGGTCTTGAATTCAAGTCCTTGTGAATGTAAAGAATCCCCTTTGGGAGAGTTTGCCTCACCATGATGTGGATGTTCCTGACTCAAACAGGATTGCCTCTCGTGGAGGATACCTATGGTTTATCCAAAAAAAAGCTAGGCTTGCACAAAAAGGAGGTGCAATTCATCCAGATTTCAGAGATAAAATGGTTTCTTAAAATATGTTTCCTTGGGTTTTTATTCTACCTTTAGCATTCTTGGTTTTACTTTAGAAATAAATTTTTTAACCCCCCCCCCCCCCCCCCCCCCCCCCCCCCACCCCCAATGCTGCCCCAGAAGAAAAAACTTTTCAGTGCTCACTTCAGAGTTTCTATATCCTGAATTTCAGAGGTAAATATTATTCTATTCTGTAACTCCAGTTTAGTTTATCAAAAGTACTATCCGCAATTATATAGTGCATGGGATAATGTGCACCTTTGTTCTGTGTCATTCACCAACTTTTTCAAAAACTTAAGCTATTAAGTTGAAGCTCATGAGTGGTTTTATCGAGCAAAAGTTTTATGGGCTTGAAGTATAGCCATTACACAGACCCATCTACCTTGTGCTAAAATTCAATTTTTTTTATATAGAAGAATGAGATGGCAAGGATAAAAAAAATGTTCACTTGGTATTCTATAATTCTAATTGATTAAATATTTAAATTACGCACTATAAAATTGACGCATTTACAAAAGGAACCTCAAATATTCTAATTGATTAAATTACACACTATAATTGGATTTACTCAGTTTCTATCCTCTATTTCATTCATAAATTTAATGTCACATGATAGTGACATGATTCTAACATATTACTTAACATTAATTCACGTGAATCTTAGAACTCACAACTTTTAATATACAGAGTGAATGGATGAAAAACACCAATAATTGTTCCAGCTACTTCAAGACAAAAAATTGCGGTTAATGATGGTTGATTCTAAACGGAAGATGATATGTTATATTTCTAATTTACAAAGACATCATGTTAAATTATGACCAGATGGAATCATTGTGCTAACCAAATTCAATAGTAGAAGGTTGTCATTGATATGATTAGAATACAAAGCTATCTTCCAAAACAGATACATAACAAAAAATATGGAAGTACCTTCTGCCTTTTTAGCAACAGTAGTGGAATACTTATCAGTTGTAGAAGAAATGTTTTCTCTACTTGAAAAGAGCTTTGCAAGGCGTAGTTCTGTAATTTTCATTTGCTCTTGAGCAGCGATCTCAAACTCAACAATCGGCCTATTTGTATAACGTCTCTGCACAGTGTAAAACAAATTAATTTGAATTTAAATGAACAGTGTTTATGTCAACATTTTCCTCTTTCTATCACTCAGGTTCATTCACTAGTGAAATTTTCAAAAATAGAGTAGAAATTTTTAACGTGTTATGCATAGAAGAAGGACAATGAAGGAGATCAAAAGCCTCTAAGAATGGAATATTCCCCACCCTAACCTTCTTCAAAATTAGATAACAAGATATTCATCTTCCAAACCCAAAGAAACCAGTAGTCTGAGGCATATTCTTGAGAAATAAACTTTTAGAAACTTGCTGAATTTCAGCAATGGTTGGGTTGGCATCTCATCCATTTTTAACCATGCTTTGAATTAATCGGTGACATCATGAAGTAGTCTCTCAAGAAAAACACATTAGTCATTTATCCACCAAAACAATGTCAAATCACCACAAAAAGTTCCTCAAGTTACTGCTTATGGGTATTTCAAATCCCAAAACAGCACCCATTTTATCATTTGAAATGTTAAGTTAAGAAAATACCATCACACTCACAATCACAACTTTCATTAATCCATTTTTTTTACCTTTCGACAAGAAACAAATGTATATTCTTAATAAAATGGCTAAACAGAAATTCACCCACATAGAAATCAATAGAAATAAAATAAGTAGATAAAAATATTGCCAACACCAGGGTTTAAATTCAAACATACCTTCAGTTCAGCAAGTATCTCATCAGTACTTCTTCCAGATGCACATATGAGAAATACAAATCCAAACTTTTGCCTATACCGAGCATTCCATTCAGACAGTTCCTACAAAAGTCAAATGGACCACATGTAGATAAATAAATTCCATTTATGAATACTTAACATAGCAGATTAAGTCCCCTTACAACTGCATGTTTGCTGCCCCATCCCAAGCCCAATTTTGCCAATGGACAAATGGTTCCTCCACAATAATAATAAAACCAATAGTAAACCATGATAAAGGTCCAGGCTACATAGGATGCAAAAATGAAAGCATATGAAATATTTTGTAAGAATTCACAACTCTCTGGAAGAAGGTGTTTTTCAATTCAATACTCTTACACAAATTATCTTTAAGTATTCTGCTAGCAGAGATCAATCAAGTTTCCATATATTACGTAGCGCAAGTAACAGCACTAAAGTATTTGTAGTTTTTGAGTGGCAGCAGCAAGCAAACCTGTAAGCTAGAACCAGTAGCAGTTGCTAAAGCAGTTGATTGTTCTCCCTTACTCCACCTGCAAAAAACAGTTTCTTAGCAAGTTATTAACTCCAACAATGGAATAGGGGATAAAACATTTTACCCATTTTGTTGCAAACACCGCCAATATGGAAGACACAATCTTAATACTCATTCAAGGTTTTTCACATCCAATATAAAAAGGAGAAAACAACCCATACATGAATTTTTTATTATATATCTTACATATTTATATTTTATATAACACATCTCCTCATGCAGAATTCTTTTTTGCACTCGACTTTGAAGCGTGAACAATACATAGATCTACCAACCTTACAGAAATTAACTATTCTTTTATTACAAGAATGGCACAATAAGAATCTCTAATTATAGACCACTTGATAAAAGAGGCTCTGATCATGTGTCATGAACCAACTCTCCCAAAAGCTTAAACAGTTAATTTCATTATATCTCTAAAATATTTATATTATATCAAAGAAACCCATATCGTAAAAACAAGAATAGAATTGGAGGAATCACTGAACTGCCAAATTCCATTACTATATTCAAATTCCAAATGAAGACACAAATAAACAAACACCCAACAAGATAAAAACACACACAATCGTTAGCATTAACTCATACGTTTCATATCAACATACAAAAGAAAAAGAGATGTGGGATTGATGACTGAACTGAGCACTGGTTTGAGAGGCATGAGAGGGAGAATGGGTTTGACCGATTTGAGGATGAGAAGAGAAGGCTTGAAGCCAACCATTGACATCAACGTTGTTGAACCAAATGTCTCGGGCAACAGAAAGGGCATGTTCTAAGGAAGAGAAAGGAGATGCTAAAGCCATGTCCTTTGCGAATCTCGTGCTTCCACAGCATGATAAATACTCCTTCTCATCAAACCCCACTTCCATTCTTCTTCAAACACCACCACCCCTAATCTCTCTCTTTCTTCTCTTCTCTTCTGTTTTGTAATGGACAATTCAATTGCAAACTGTTGTTTTTGCTTTGAGAATCTACCTACGATTTTCGGAAAAGAAAAGGTTGTGTCAGCTTCAGTGTCTTCTTGTCAGAGGACAAAACAAAAAAAACAAATATAGTAAAAGTTTTTGAGCTTACTGGAAGATGGTTAAAAAATATCTCGATGCGGGAATTGAATTTATGTAAAAAAAAAAACTTTATAAAGAATATATGTGATAGACACTACAAGTATCTATAGTATTCTGTATTAAAAGTTACTGAAAGGGGAAAGATAATATCTCCGGCGACAACACCGGCGGCAATTCGAGGCTGCCGTCAACTCCAGAAGTTTGTTAAGGAGAGAGAAGAGAAGATTTGCTTATACAAATGCGTAACTAATTCTAGAGCATTCTCAGCCCCTAAATAACCGAATGAAAATAAAAGAAAGCAACAATTCAAGGTGGGCCACGTCAAGGCCACGTTCCAAGGCCATTTCCATGCTGGGCCACGTTTATTCCTTCGGCCCAGCTTATGTCTCCACCATTTCAATTCTCCTAGCCACGTGTGGGTACCAGGTAACCCTTCAACTTGTTTGACTTGATCTTGATTCTACTTCCTCTTCTGGGTATAAATTTCTGCACTCCCTCAGCTTGATCCTCATTCATCTTTGTCTCCATCTCTTCTTCTATAGTCTGACCTATGTTCGTATCATTTCCCCCTTCCCTTAGAATATCGATCTTGCCCTCAAGATCGAAGGTCGGGAACGCTTGCTTGAAATCAGAAAGGGAAATCCACGAAGCATCTTCCAAAGGCAATCCACTCCATTGGACCAAGACCTGCATGTCTGAATCCTTTCCCGTAGCCACGGTGCAAGATCGGAGCACAGCCACCGGAGAAACAATTGGGTGGCTTCCCCAATCGATCGTAGGTAAAGGGCTTGGGTGAAAAATTGGATTTTTATGAAACGGCTTCAATAACGAGACATGAAACACTGGATGTATGCGGGAATGAGCGGGCAACTCCAACCGGTAAGCCACCGTGCCAACACGATCCAGAATCGGAAAGGGGCCATAGTAGCGTCGTCGCAACTTGGAGAAGCTCTGATTACGCAGCGACTGCTGTCGGTAAGGTTGCAACTTCACCAAAACTTCATCTCCAACCTTGAACTGAACATCTCGCCTCTTTTTATCAGCTTGATGCTTCATCCGTTGTTTTGTGCGGTGTAATGTTTCGCGTAGGTGTCTTAGAATCTGATCCCTCTTGGTCAATAGGGCATCGACAGCTTCAATTGGAGAAGACTCCCCCTGGTACGGTTGCAGGGGAGGTGGCAGACGCCCATACAGAACCTGGAAAGGGGACAAGCCAATTGCAGAATGAAAAGAGGAATTATATGAAAATTCTGCCCAAGGTAAAAACCGAACCCATTCCTTGGGATTTTCCATTGTATAGCATCTGAGGTATTGCTCCAAGCCTCTGTTGGTAACCTCTGTTTGCCCGTCACTTTCAGGATGATTTGCCGTACTAAAATGAAGCCGAGTGTTACTTAAGCGTGACAACTCAGTCCAGAATTTACTAATGAAAATTCGGTCACGATCCGAGACAATGGAATGAGGAACACCGTGATGACGGCAAATATCGGAGATGAATAAAGAGGCAACCTTTGTTGCCGTAAAATTGCTGGGCAGGGCAGAAAAATGAGCATACTTTGAGAGGCGGTCTACCACCACCATAATCGCTGTCCTGCCTTCTGAATTAGGAAGCCCAATGATAAAATCCATCGAGACATCCTCCCACACAGCCTTTGGTGTTGCAAGCGGTTGAAGCAATCCTGCGGGACTTAAGGGTTGATACTTGGTGATTTGGCAGATTGGGCAAGTCCGGACAAACTCTTGGACATCTTTTTTTAGCAGTGGCCAGTAATAGTGACTAGACACACGATGCAGGGTCTTCCTTATTCCACCATGGCCACTCACAACCGTCGAATGGAACTCATGTAAAACCTGTGACTTCAGGGCAGAATTGCTGGATAGTAGTATGCGGCCCCTGAAGTATATGATTCCATCTCGCAGCTGGTAATTTTCCATACCCTCTTCATTATTTTCCAGCTTCTTGACTACAGCTATTAACTCAGCTTTTGTGTTTACCTCCTCTCTGATTGCTGCATATAGGGGATTGCTGATTTTGGATAAAGTCAACAGAGCATGGTCGACCTCCCTACTTTCCTCTACCTCTTGCTTCCTGGACAAAGCATCAGCAACCTTATTCATCGCTCCGGGGTAATACTCGATGGTATAGTCAAAACCCAACAGTTTAACTAAGAATCTTTGTTGTTCCGGTGTCTGAATGATCTGTGCCATCATTTCTTTTATGCTCTTCTGATCAGTCCTGATGGTGAATTTGGCCCCTAACAGGTATTGCCGGAATTTGGCAACTCCTTCAGTGATGGCAAATAGTTCTCTTACATAGGTGGAGGTCTGTTACATCGTAGGGGATAACTTGCGACTGAAATAAGCTATGGGCCTATTGTTCTGACTTAGGACAGCCCCTATGCCAATGCCAGAAGCATCAGTAGTCAACACAAAAGGCTCATTGAAATTAGGAAGGGCCAACACAGGGGTCTGTGACAATGCCTCCTGCAATCTGCTCATAGATGCAGCCGCGGTTTCAGTCCAGTTAAAAGCATCTTTCTGTAAAAGATGGGTGAGAGGTGCTGCAATATGAGAAAAGCCCCGTACAAATTTTCGATAATAGCCAGCTAGGCCCAGAAATCCTCTTAGCTGCTTTACTGTCTTTGGTACTGGCCAGTCCATGACGGCTTTAATTTTGGACTCATCCGGTTGAACCCCTTCACCATCAACCACATGCCCCAAATATTCCACCTCTGCCTGAGCAAAGGAACATTTAGCAAACCGAGCATAAAGATGGTTTGCCTTGAGACAATCCAGCACGGCCCTTAAGTGTCCCAGATGGTCCTCTAAACTCCTGCTATACACCAATATATCGTCAAAAAACACAATTACAAAACGCCGAAGAAATACCTTCAACACTGTGTTCATGATTCCTTGGAACGTTGCAGGGGCATTCGTCAGTCCAAAGGGCATAACGACAGATTCATAATGCCCCTCGTGTGTCCTGAATGCGGTTTTGTATATGTCTTCCGTTGCCATCCTGATCTGGTGATAGCCTGATCGCAGATCCATCTTGGAAAAAATGGAATCTCCTTCTAATTCATCCAGCATTTCATCCACAGTGGGGATTGGAAAGCGGTTGGGAATGGTCACCTGATTCAAAGCTCGGTAATCTACACAAAACCTCCAGGTACCGTCTTTTTTCTTTACCAGTAACACAGGTGATGAGAATGGGCTCACACTGGGCTGAATTTCCCCTTTTTCTAGCATTTCTTTGACCATTTTTTCGATTTCTGTTTTCTGGAAATGAGGGTACCGATAAGGTCTTACATTCACTGCCTTTATTCCAGGTTCAAGGTGTATCTGATGATCTTCATCACGGTTGGGTGGTAATTCTCCTGGCTTAGCGAAAACATCCTTATATTCCTCCAACAGCACTTGGACACTACTATCCAGATTAGTAATATCGAGATTTGGCTCCTCACCTGGTATTTCCTTCGCTTGAAGATGGTAATAGCAGGCAACTGAGTCAGTAGTGGACAACCTACGCAATTGGTTTAATTGAATAGATTCCATAGCCAACCCCGGTTCCCCTTGTATTTCTACCCACTGGTCTCCTCTTTCAAACTTCATAGTCAACCTTTTGTAATTGATGACTACATCACCCCACTCTGACAGCCACTGTACTCCAAGAACCACCTCAGCACCTTTGATGGGCAGCACGTACAAATCAGGGCTGAATTGATGCCCTTGGATCAGCAGGCTAACCTTAGGACATACCCCTAGGCAGTCCATCACAGCCTCATTTCCCACCAGTACTTGAAACTTGGGAGTATCCTTAACCTCTAACCCCAGATATTTCACTAACCTTTCTTGTATAAAGTTGTGAGTGGAACCTCCATCCACCAATATTTGTACCTCAGCTCGGCCTATCTGTCCCTTGATGCGGAGTGTACTGGTAGAATGTTGTCCAGCTAGTGCATGAAAGCTGATCCCTGCCATACCCTCCATATCACCCCCTGCCTTGGCTTTATCCTCCTCCAAGTCCAGCTCGGGTTTAGGCATCTCCAATTCAGCCTCCTCTCCTTCATCCTGTACTATCATGAGAAACATTTTGGCTTTGCAAACATGATTTCTGTGGAACTTTTCGTCACAATTATAACACAATCCTTTTTCTCTCCTTGCTAACATTTCTGCAGGTGTGAGTTGATTGATTCCAGGCGCTCCTCCTTTTCCCCCACTGTTGGGAGGGTGTTTCGTAGGAGTTGGCAGTAATCCAGCAGGATTGGTAACATTGGTATTCCCCACTGCCCTATTATAATAGGTTCTTCCTGTGTTTCTATCATTTAACTTGTCCTCCACTAACTTGGCCAGGTCTATTGCTTGCTCCAACGTCTCAGGAAGGTGCATTCGAACTTCTTTCCGAATTTCAGGCTTCAAGCCCAATTCAAAGCAGCTTTGAAGTGTTACATCATCAATTCTGATTACCTGATTCGCCAACTTCTCAAACTGCACTTGATAATACTCTACGGTAGTGGATTGTGCTAATCGTCCTAGCTCCCCTCTCAGATCTCGGTACTTGGACGGTCTAAACCTAGAACGCAAGGCTGTCAGAAAGGTATCCCAGGATCCCAACCTACCATTCCTATCCATCCAATGATACCATGCTTCGGCCGTTCCATCCATATGAAAGGAAGTTAAGGTAAATTTTTCTGCATCTGTGAGGTCATTAAACCCATAGAATTGTTGTACCTTGTGTATCCACGGCTCCGGATTTCCCCCAGCGAAACGAGGAATTGAGATCTTGACTGATTTGAATGGATTGCTCCCAAAGAAGTTCTCCAACCCCGAATTAGAATTTCCTTCACTCTTCTGTTTTGTTTTCTGATTTTGACCCAATTTGGCTTCCATTAACGTTAATTTTACGTTCATGTCTTTTAGCAAGCTACCAAGAGCGTTAAACTGTTCTTCATGGTGGGCCAGTTTGCTCAAACATTCGTCCATCTTCGCCTGACTCCGAGTTCCCTCCGCCATCCCAATAGTCTGGATGTATGATTGCTCTCAATGAAAGCACCAAAATGATAGACACTACAAGTATCTATAGTATTATGTATTAAAAGTTACTGAAAGGGGAAAGATAATATCTCCGGCGACAACACCGGCGGCAATTCGAGGCTGCCGTCAACTCCAGAAGTTTGTTAAGG